AGCTATGTAAGCAGTGTTACTTTGTGTTGATGATAACAAGATTCTATGATGTGTTATCACCTAGAATTATTTTCATTTGTTCAACTTCCTCACGTACTTTTTCCACATATCCTAGACGTAACAAGAGCTAGAAATGAATGAAAGAGAATTGTAGAAAATCGAAAACGGTTACAGTTACTTCAGACAAAACACTTTTATGTTATATTTGCTTAAAGATTTTTACAATGCCCCAAAAGTCTTTACAACCAAGAATATCGAGTAGTCTTCACCGTTTAATCATCCCTATTCAAAGCAATAGTTGCACATCGTATATGCCCTAGATGTTGAGCTCACATTCTATGTATGCCTACTTATCAACCTTAGATAACGGTATTGACAGAAGTAACAGAAAACTGGGGATTTTTTTATTGAATTGATTAAGTTGTAGGGGACATTTTAAAGTCCCCAACTGTTGATTTAAATCGTGTCGGCAATACTCTACTGTTGTAAGAGTTTTCACCTATCGCTCAACAAATGTGCACTGGAAGGAAGTGGAGATGGATTCGGCATACACTGAGAAAGCTGACTGGGGACATCACGCGTCAGGCCAGTCCCTCAAGTGGAATCCCCATGGGAAGCGACGAGTTGGGCGTCTGAGGCGGGAGTGACATGGAGGAGATCGTGCGAGGAGGAAATGAGAGCTTGTGGGATGTCGTGGAATCAAGTTCAGAAGATATCAGAAAACAGAGCGCATTGGAGACGTGCTAGTGAAGCCCTATGTTCCATTAGGAACCCAAGGGACAAATAATAATAATAATAATAATAATAATAATAATAATAATAATAATAATAATAATAAAGATTATTTAGTGATGTGAATATGAAGTACATCAGTGATGTAGCGACATTCGACTACATTAAAATCGTTTAGCCACTTCAAGTAGTTAATATCGTGAAGTATGATGAAAAAAAAATGAAAGTAACCAAGTCAAACAATCGGTCCAACGGACCGACTTCTAGTTGTATAAAAACTTCATACAAACTTAAATATGTTCATGCCAGATTCGATGTGAATACACCAATGTTCTAGTTAATTAATAAAAATACAGACAACCATTACTGTATTAAAAATCTTTTAACAGTGTACATAATTTATTGTGGTAATTTACTTGTTTGTGGTTAGCAGAGGAATCCAGGCCGCATATTTCGTCCTATTTAGGACTCGTCAGCTAGATATACCTGCACCCAAGTGAGTGATGTTGTTCCAAATGAAACTCTAACCTCATACCCATCGCGTCAAATTCCACAGCGTTATTCGTTAGGCCAATGAAGCCTGATAGCCACCTCTTGTACAACAGATATTAGTTATAACTTTTTGTTGTTGTATATGTAATTCTCCATTGTTTTACCAGATAGAATTCTTTGACCTCTGTTGGTACATGGACTTTTGTGCAGATGCTTCGATATTGCCTGAATATTTATTAAGGTAATTAACTTGGTTGTTACTAGCAGAGGAATCCAGGACGCGCGATTCGTCCTGTATGGGACTCGTCATCTGGAAGCATCCTCATAAAAGTCCATAAACCAACAGAGGTTGAGAAATTTGACCCGATAAAGCAGTGGAGAAATACAAGTACATCAACAAAAAGTCAGTCTATATAATTTATTTATTGATAAATATGCTATTAAATTAACTTAATCATCTAAAGTACATTAAACAGACAATATGTAAATGGCTGAGAAATACAAAGTCTGATAAACATATTCAATATTTTTTCGAGATGAATGGGGATTTTTAATTCGGAAGTGGTATATTCATCATGGACTGACATCAGTTGGGGAACCATTGAAAATCTGAGAGCACTGGACAGCTGTTTCGTCCTAGTGTGGGACTCCTCAGCAGTACGTACCCATGACACGGCTCGGATCGGATCGAACTCAGGACCTTCAAGTTTCACGGCGAACGCGTTAACCATCCAGCCACTGGGTTGGTTTTCAGTGGTTCACAATTTCCAACTTCTGTCAATTCACGACATAGCGTGACTGTCACTCAAGGTCTTCAGTTAGCATCCACTTTATCCCCTGCGTACTGCTGAGGAGTCCCATACTAGGATGAAAGAGCTCTGCAGTGCTCCCAGATTTTCAATGGTTCCCCAACTGATGTCAGTCCATGATGAATACTACTTCTATACTAAAAATCCCCATTCATCTCAAAAATACATATTTATTAATTTGTTTTAAAAAAGTAGTCAGACGATCAGTCTTTTTTGCTGTCATCTGGTTTGGGTTTTTCAGAAAGTGACTAGCTACAATATAATCAGTTGGTGATTTTCGCTTCTTACACAGACACAAGTTTGCCGTACCTTATCACTTCGGTCCTTGATTACGTAATTGCGTATTACTTAGGTATGAGTGACATTTCTGTGAGGGCCTATGATACAAGAAAATTCTATTGGGCTGAAGTAGGTGTAATAGAATCGGAATCAAGAACACATTGCTTAACAGTCGAAGACTTAAGCTAAAGCGCGACATCTACACAATGCATATCAGTAATCAGTCCAACAAAATGCTTTTATAGCAGTCACCTACTTCAGATTTTAAGTATAACTGTTACTGTAAAGTAACAAAGGGCCGTAGAACTTATAATTGAGAGGAAAAATAGAAAAGTAGGTAAAACCAAGCAACAACATTCCATTGTTTTCCTTTTCACTTGTGTTGACAACACCCTAGACTTAGTATTTACAAATGAACCTGACATATATAAAGCCTGTAAACGGGACTTCACTGCTAAATTCTGACCACTGTATTGTACGTGTTTTACCTAAAGTGTACGGCAAATTACACAAGAAAGCTTTCGGATACCTTTCCAAGAAAGTTCAATACAGATGCTATCCACAAGAAAATATATTACGTTTGATAAGCACGCTTATAAAAACGGACTGGGATATATTTGCTGATAAAGTTTTAGACAACACAATCAACAATAACACAAGCTATCTCAGATTCTATCTCAATATCTCCTGCTTTTCTGAAACAATCTACATGAGATTCGTCAAACTTTCCTCTCCTCATCTCGAGGGACTCCGAAGATAAAGGGAAAGGTTGTATAAGGTGAGAGAGAGATCACCCTGGCGTTAAGAGACTTAACTGCCTAATTAAGTCTCAAATACAACGTCTGAATACTATTTACAACCAGAAGTTCCTGTCGTGTAAGAACTCTTCCAATATATGGAAATTATTTAAAGAGCTTACTGGTCGAATATAGGTGACAAAAGAAGATTGTTCGGATGTCTGCGCGTTAAACAAGTCATTTATACGTCAGCAGGCTGATTTCACCCTTCCTAATATCCACAGTCAAATGGACAGTTGCTTTCCAGGTTTTAAAACACTTGATGTATTTAAATGTCGAAAATCCTTTTATCCATCCATAAGCTTAGGTCCTGATGTTTCTAGTATAATATTTGTTAAAAGTGCAGGTATTTTATGTTATCCCCTTACAGATATCTTCAGTGCATCGTTTTGTAAAAACAGAATACCCACTGCTTGTAAGGAGATCAAAATTGTACCTGTGCCTAGGTTGTCTTCTGAAGACAATGGAAAAATTACTTCTCCTTGTGATTGAGTCTTTATTGATGGTTTTCCGAGATCCAAAACAGTTCGGTTACAAATACAGGAGAAGTACTTTAGATGCAGCCACTGTCAAGCATCATAATATTGCTTCTAGTTTCGACAAAGGTGTTAAGTATGTTTGTTTTGCCTTCTTGGATTACTCATCAGCCTTTGACTCTGCTCCTAGACCACTCTTGTTAAATAAGCTTACCATAGCTCATTCGTAGCCATCGGTTACAAAGTGGCTGTACGCTTATTTTTCTGAAAGGAAACAGCGCACTCTTTATAAAGGGAAGCGCTCGACTTCACTGCTTACCTAAGCTGGTGTGCCTCAAGGTGCTGTACTTTCTCCTTTTCTGTCTTCCTTCTTTTTGCACGATTTACCTTATTCAGTTGAAATAAATTTTACTAAGCATACTGACGACCTGACGGTGTCTATTCCAGTTAACTCTTATTTAGATTGCTTTAAATTAAATGGATTCTTGTCTGAAGTTGGCCAGTGGTCTCTCTTAAATGGTCTCAAGTTAAACCCTTCTAAGTGTCAGACTGTTAATTTTAGCCTCAGGTGTAAACAAGACTTGTGTGAGCTGCTTCAATCTCATGACGCCTGTTGCATTGATGGTACTTCTGCAGAAAGTAAGTCGAGCGTTAATCATCTTGGGTTGAGTCTTACTTCTGATTTGTTGGTCGTCTCATATCTTGTTGACTGCTAAAAAAATCTTTCGTTTAAGTTATTACGTAAAGAAACTAAGGCTTTCTGGTATAACTGAACCTCTTCTTTTACAATTTATTAATTTCTGCATTTTACCTATTCTTCTATACTGTTCTCCATTGATCTTTCCTGGTCTTCTAAAAAAAGACTGTTATTTTGCGTAGGGTTTTGAAAGCCGTCAGCAGGGTGAGTGATGTGCTTCTGGCTCGACCGATTAACACTGTGATTGATAGACATTCAAATTCCAGCAAGCAACTGGTTACAGAAATTTTAACTGACACTGAGCATCCACTTCATTCACAGCTCTCTCCATGTATCTCCTAAGGGAGGACATGGAGAAACTACATAAGACTGTATGCTTGTGCAGCTGAGTATAAGAATTCTATAGTACCTTACCTAGCACACATATTTTGTGAGGAACAAGATGTTAGAACAGAAGCCACACATCAATTTTGTAACCCTTAAGAATTTCATTTCAGTAAAATAGACTAACAATGTAAAATTTCCCCGCTTTTAATATTCTTTACATTACTTAAATTTTTATAATAAAACAACTCGAAATGTTGTAAAGGAGTATGTATATACTTATATTTTGTTGTTGTTGCGATATATCATGCTAAGAATTCCAAATTGTACCAAGAATTGTTTGGAACAAAGTAAATTATTATTATTATCATTACAAATAGTAAAAACAACTTACCGATAATTTCTTTTCTCTGTATAAAATAACTGAATTATCATTGGTCACAGCGATGGTTATTTCCTCAAGAGCATGCATTAACGAGTCCTAGTAAAGTTGTACAAAATGACATAAATGCTTACTTGACTTGAACTCCTTGATAAAATCTCTGCATACAGAAATCTGTAAGTTGATAAGGTAGGAAAGTGCTAGTCATATATTAAATTACATATTTTTTTTTAGCATACCTTCACAGAATTGTGTACTTTCTGAATTGCTTTGGTATGTTTTTCACAGTTTGATAATAAAATACTCTCAACTTAAAATATGAATTTTGTACTGATTAAAGGAAATATTGTAATTTTACTAGTTGAATTATCAATAGATACATTTTCTATTGAAGGAAATAATTTCACTCTGCCTACAAGATTACGAGCATGTTTCTGAAGTGAATTCGTGATTATATTTCTTAACTTTACACTTTCATTGGTACAAACTATTTCTTGACTTGACTGAGTGATGCACAATGGCATAAGCGTTTCATCTAAGAACATATTTGTGATCATAATAATACCTTTCACATATGTGAGTAGCATTCGTCCACAAGTTCATACCAACGAAGCAGAATTCGATTAATCGACTAATGAACTATCAGAATGTTATTAAAACAACTAACAGTCTTGAGATATACATCATATGTCCACGGCGAACCAGATCCACTCCTGTCACTTGCAAATTCATTCACTATTATGCATTTACGCAGAATTTTATCGTTTTCGGCAACTTGTCCAAGAAACTTAGTTGTCTTTTTAGCAAATGAAAGTTATTGTGCAACATTTTCGTATAGATCAATATATTCCAATCCATACAAGTCAAAATTCTCTGATTTAATTGAAATAATTTTCATTAGACCTTCCAAAATACTGACAACATGCCAAATAAGTAAACAGGAGACAACAACCTGAAATTTCATTTGCAGTCTATTCTAATATCACGCCGGTCATCGCTATAAGTTAAAAATGCTTATAATAAACATAAAGATCTAACAAAGCGGACCCAGATATATGGCAGTTGATAAATGCCACCTTGACGTGGTGGTCCCTCTCACCCACCACAACGATTCAACAAAATATACTGGCTAAAACATTTACCCTTTGAGGTGCTACCTTACTAGAGAGGTTTGCTGAATACTGTCGTGACAGAAAAGAGTTAACGTTGTAGTGTGAACGGCTACGTTATGATGGGTGTGCTAGGACGAAGCCATACTTCTGACCGGAAGACGGTGTGGATAACCAGCAGTGTGACTTTAATGCTGCCTTACGCCTTCCTATGGGAAGCTGAGGGCTAGGAAGGGTTGGGCCCAAATCCAGTGCATGTTTGTGCAGTAAGCAACGAGCTACACTTATTTTTTGAGGTCTAATGATGCTATCTGGCTGCCGATACCTCGAAAAGTGAAGGAAGTCCGAACCCATGACCCGCTGGTTGAAAGTCAACTGTCTGAATCGATAGGTCATAGTATCACAAAACCCAGTCAAACATGACTTGTCCTCTTCACCTTTTTATCCTACCTTGTCCTTTTTCATTTTGCAATACCGATATTAAGCCTCTTACAACTACTTCAATCTCTCACTCTGAGACGGTCCAAGTCAGAGAAGCATAATGCTTAGTCTCCTAAACTTGTCACTGTTCTAACTATATGCCAAGCACGACTGCAAGCATCGCTCGTCAGAAATGTGGGGTTTCGAGTCATAGATGCATATTGTGTTTCCGAGACACATATGCAGCACCCAAATGTGGTTATCAAACTGATTTCACCCAGCCATTACAGTGAATCTTCAAAACTCACCTCATGAGTGCCTGACCACTGACCCGTTGGATCGCTCTAGGCATAACATTGAGTTGTAGAGAAGATAGTGCACTTCTCGAGTGGATACCAGTCAGCAGCCGTCTATCCGCTGTCTGGCTGAATGCATCTGTAAGAATTAAAAAGGACCATGAGACTAGCCAATGCCTATTCGTAATCTCGGCCTACGCACTCACCCACTGATGCAAATGATGAATTCTTTCAAAGCTGTCAGTTTTGCCACGGGAATTAAAACGATCAGATATAGTCACAAAAGCAGACGACTTCCGGGCTCAAGTACGAAAGCTGAGCCAGTCAAAAGGACATCACTGAAGTGTCTGTGGAATCCCATTTCGACGGACCGACAACCGTGCTTATCTCTTACGATGTTGTTCTAATAATCATTTGTTTCTGGCCGACACTAGCTTCAAGCATAAAGAGAAACAGTGTCTCGCATGGTGTCAACTGACGACAAACCAACGATGGATACAGGCAGAGGGGATCGGTGGAGGTCTGACGCTCACTATGGTGTACCTGTTTGGCTCCGATAATACGTTAGTGAGAGCATGTGGATGTTTTTACCTCAGTGGTGGCAGGAGAGAGGCGCCAGTAAAGCCTGTATGTACTGGATTGGCAGATGAGGACTTGAAGCACTTATTCAGGGAGAACATGGCTAAGCATTTATATGATGATGAACTGTGTTGTGACATCAAGTCTGCTGCAAAAACAGCGGCAAAGACAGTTAGTAACTCACATTAAAAATTTAGCGAACGTCTTCGGATTTTATCAACATCATTTGAACTAAGAGATTGGAGAAGAGTCATTCCGGCTGGCTGTGGCCACGATAAAGAGCGAAAACAACCGAAACGTAAATTTACAAAGGTTGTTTGCAATGATCACGAGTAGTGGTGGGTTGCGAAAGTAAAGAGATGGAGAAAGCATCGGCCTTAGGTAATACCCGGTTACCATTTAGACTGATTGAAAAAATCAGCAATAAGAAGACGATGGTTAGTGAAACCATCACTTAAAAGGATAGGACACTAATAAATTCTCAGGAAAGGCGGTTAGGACGTTGGGTAGAGAACTTTGAGACACAGTTCAGTCGGCCTACATTAATGCTCCAATTGCCCAGTACCAAACCCGAACCTAAATGGGACACAAATGTCAATCCTCCGAATGTCCTCGAAGTTGAGAAAGCTGTTTCAAATCTGAAACGATGCAAAGTAGTAGGATCTGACGGTTGGTAACATGAAGAATTTAAGGAAGGAGCTAGGAAATTATTGAGCGGAATAACAGAGTTAATACGCAGAGTATGAGAATACGAGTTAGCCCCATCAAAACAGTTTACTTCACTGATGATTCCAGTATATAAGAAAGGAGAGAAGCCCTCTGGTGACTGTCATACGGGAGTCAGTTTAACTATAAACGCATCCAAGATCCTAGGATCCATAGTTATCCGACACTTGACTGGAGCTCCAAAACAGTAAACTAGAGAAAATCAGGCAGGTTTCAGACTTGGATGAGGATGGTGTATCTATCAAATTTTCATTTTTCCACAGGCAGTGAAACACGGGCATACCTACCGGCGGCCGACAGTCTAAGGCGGCATTTGACTTTACAAACCGTGAGATGTTACGAATGTGTCTGAATGTGAATGGAAAGCAAAACAATTTTGTAGTGCTAATCAAAGATCTCTACTTGAATTCACGCAGCTGTTTCAGGGCTTACAGAGAGTTATCCACAGAGTTGACGATAACATGTTCGCTGTCACCGATCCTATTTAATTTCATTATAGGTGTACTAATTGACATAACCTTAGGTTTGTTTGATATCACATGAGTTGACCTACTTTTTGGAGGTCATCTGAATGACTTGAAATATGGAGACAATATTATCCTGCTAGGTGAAGACGCTGACAAAGTTTAGGGTCTTCCGAGCCCCACGAGCAGAAATCTGAGTGTATTTGACATGGATCTCGCATATGACAAATGCAAGAAGACGCTTCAGGACTGGTATGCAATGACTCCTAGCTTAATGACAGGGAATGAAGCGGTGGAATGCGTCAACCACTTGACTTATTTGGGTAGTTGCATCAGCTCTAACGGGCTGGTTGCTGGAAAGACTTCAGCTGCAACACAGAAGGCCCGTTTGGCATTTTCTAACTTCTGTCATCTGTGACACCGGTGGGAATCCGATTACTTATTAAAGAAAGAGTACGCCGCGCTGCAGTTCGTTCTGTTCTGCTTTACGGTCATCAAATATTACTGTTAAAAACACATATGAAGGGATTCCAGGCTTTTGCCTGTATGTGTCTTCTTTGCATTGCTTACGTCTGGTGGAAGCCACAGCAATGTCGACGTTACACAAATGTTACTAAGCATGGAAGGGAGAGAGATGGACGAGTTCGTGAACGTTCATCGACTGAGGTAGTTCGTACATTTGTCGCGCATGCCGTCACCATCTACCCAGATGTGCAATGCTAGGTAAATTCGGATTAACTTGATAAAAGGCTCAGAGTGGCCAAACCAGTCCATGGAGTCGCTGACATTTGTCCTCAGCCTTGTAGCGAGGTGTAGACTATCTGACTGGCGTCCTCAAGGTAACATGGATCAGTAGCTGAAGACTTTTAGTGACAGTGCTGAAAATCAGTCGCAGTGGCACAGAGGTATTCATTCTTTGACGTCTTCTAAAGCTTGAATATTTGCATCAACTATTAACTTCAAATAATTTCTTCTCTGACACACCTTTATTACTTTGATATCAGTCTTTTTATTTCCACTATGAACCCATTTCACTTATCCCAGAATGCTGGTGTGTAGAGAGGAATGTTCTATTTTGAAGGCCACTTTTCCAACTTTCTCCATCTCAAAGATGAGTCAGCATCCGCGTAGCACTGGCTGTCCAAAGAATTACCTCACTGCTGTCACATTTTCGTCCAGCCAAGAGTGCGACTTTACCCTCGGACCCCCATAATAATGTGAAAATGTAACTGATTTTTGTCTTACCACTATCCAACAGACCTTTCTGGTATGGTATGACCTGTAGGGAAAAAGCGAGCCACCATCTTAGCTCACTGGGTCATTGTGATAAGCAAGCCAAACCACCACGCCAGAGCAGCAGCCACCGGCCACAAAGAGTCCTAAACCGCTCATTTCTGTTGTCTCAAGGATTCCAGTCAGGAATTTTACGCCTTCCTATAAACCTCAGACCAAGTCAGAGGTTTTACAGACTAGTTGCTGACTAATTCATTTCTTGTTTCTCTTTCATCTTGTTTTCTTCTACCCTGGTATGCTGACATGTGGTAACTGGGATCGTTATATCGTAATGCCTAGACGCTGAATACCTGGATCATAGGATAGTGCCGCTTCTTGTTCTAGACACCCATCTTCCACTGCAATCAGACTTTGGCTAGGACCACACATTAAGGTTGACAGTGGTTCTGGAAGTATAACTCGTGCCCAAACGTGGAGTGGAGTGTCGCATAACGTAATTATCTTTTCATAGGTGATCGGAGGGGTTTTTGAAGCCATATTCTGTGTAAATTAGAATATATTGGACCTGCCATTTGAATTCAAGTTAAGGTTACACCAGAAAACAACCCATCCGGGTTGTGATCAATGTATCTCACCAATTCACTCCATTTCCAAACTAGGAGTCGGTGCGGACTAGTTGTAAGACAACATTCAATATTTGATAGGTGCGACACGCATTCTAAGCGTACCTGGAACTACAGTCAAAGTCTTCGGAAGGCTA